TACAGCAACTAGAAGGATGTGAACCTATGACATACAACTATCTGCTGGGGCTTTGGGGGGAAAAAATGAATAAATAAAATCTTTAAAAAAAAAAAAAAAAAAAAGAAAAGCCACCATGAGATTGTCCATGAAATCATCCAGTCTAGAGCTGCACTGTTCAATAAGATAGCCACTTACCACATGTGGCTATTCAAAGTTAAATAAAATTAAAAATTTAATGCTTCAGTCTCACCAGCCATATTTAAAGTGCTCAGTACTTACACGTGGTAGTGGCTACTGTATTGGACAACACAGATACAGAACATTTCCATCACTGCAGTAAGTTCTATTTGACAATGTTGTTCTAGAGGGATTTGCTCAGATGGAAGATCTGCACATCTAAAAAGTGACCAAATATCCACCATAGTATAAGAAATTCTCACCATACAGGTTTCAGTTTTTCCTCCTCCTCCTTTTTAAACATAAAATAAAGGTGGCATGAGTTAAGAATGAAGGTATTGGAGGTAATTTCCTCACATTTAAAGAGAGAGTGGTATTAGAATTTATTTATTCAACAAACATTTGTTGTTTGGCACATAGTAAGGACTCATCAGTACAGGCATTATTTTTAAGCTCCTGGTTCTCTATTGCTCTTTACTCTCTTAAGTTCCTCTGCCTCCTATTCAAAGCTCTGCAGTATCTGACTCTGATGCTCCTTATTTCCCATTGCTCCCCAAGAAAAATTCTGTTTTGGTCACTGAGGTCTCCCTGTACCTTGCATGTGCATTCAGGCCTCCTTACCTCACTATAGCATTCCCTACGGTGCTGTGTGGCTCTTGACACCGTTGACCACACATTTCCTCTTCCTTAAAACTCTTCCCATGGCCTCTTTGATAGAACTGTCTCCTCTCCTCTCTGGCTGCCCTCAGCCTCTTTCTCAGATTTCTCTTTCTCTGTCTGCCTCTTAAATGTTAGCATCCTCCATGGTTCTGGCCTTGGCTCTTTTCCTTTTTTTTTGTTCTTTGCACACTTCCTGGGCAGTTTTTTATCTATATCTACATCTATATGATGTATTCATGTCTGTGTGTGCACATCTGTGTGTGTGAGTAAAATATCAATTAGGAATCTCTGATTTCAAGCAACAGACACCAATTTTGACTAAATTAAGCAAATGTGAATTTATTGGAATACTATTTGCATATCACAGAACGATGCTTGGAAATAAGATGAAACCAAGGCATCTTAAGGAGGCTAGAAAGAAGAAACTATACAAAGGTCTCTTAGAAAGACCCATCTTGGCAGTGCCCTGCTGCTAGAATGAATGCATTCCAGCCATGTGCAGTCTTTTTGTAATTCTCCTCAAGGTTCACATCTAGAGAGGAAGTCTCCCACTGGCCCGATTAAGAATCTCATGAGACTTTATTTAATGGGGAAGAAGTAACTCCCCAAAGGAAATCAGATCTTCTGTGGAAGGGGAAAAGATGACTGTAGTTAACAACAAACAAACAAAAAGCCAAGTGATACTATAATGTACCTGTAAATCGCAAATGTCTGTCTTTAGCCCAGATCTCTCTTTAGAGCTTCCCTTTCATTATATCCTGCTGCCTTTTGAACATCTCCATCTAAATGTCATTTCAAATACGACGTCTCTAAAAGCAAATTTGTAATCCATCCCATTACTTCCTCTTTTAGAAAAAGAGTTAAAAAATAAAAGACTAGATTTTTTTCACCCCTTCAATCCCCTTTCTCAGGGAAAGGCACTTATCTACCAGAACCCTAAAGTCATTAATGAAAGATCACCCCAAGTGCTCGTGGCCACAGCTGCTAGAGGTCACCACTTGCTGTTTGTTCTGCCTCTGTCATATTCTTTTCTATCACGTCCACTGCTATTGCTTTCATTCAAGCTCTCATTTGAACTGGAATATCACAATAACATTGCAACTGGTCTCCTTGCTTCCCATCTGCATGCCACACCCACTGCCACAAGGATCTTTGTAAAAGCAGATCATGTCACTCTCCTGCTTAAAAACATTGCCTTCAAGATAAATGCCTTTCAGATAAATTCCTTAATTTTTTTGCTTTTCCTTAAAGCTTTTTCAAAAAAACTTATATAATAAGTACATACAAGGTGATTTCCTTTTTTTAACTCCTGAGCTGTTTCCTCTGTTTTGAATGTCCTTTCTACCCCTTGTCCAGCTGAGCTGCTGCTCTGTGTCCTTTGAGCCTCGGCTCAGGTATAGCGTGGTCTCCTCCCAGGAAACCTTACCCATGACAACCATCCCTTCGCCCATTTTGGGTGCTTTACTCTGTGCTTAACGTTTATGAATTCTTCTATTGTACTGCATTGTCACTATGTGTACTTGTCTTTCCCTTCAGAGACTATAAAATAGTTGACAATTATGTGTTTTGTTTCCAGAACTTTGTCCAGTGACTGACACTTAGGTGATAGTCCATGAAGCTCGTGTAGTCATTTAAAGCCAGGGTGCTGTGAGAAGCCTTGGCCAATGTGAACCCTGCTGTGAGACCCAGGGTGGTGGGTCTCACAGAGGGTGATATTCTGGGTAGAGAGAAAACCCCTTCAGGTTGGTTATGTGGTACTGAAGGGACAGGCATTTGTTATCATCTTCTGTGTGCAGCTCAACGTAAGACCAGCTGTCAGGACTTGGAGAAACAGAAAGATTCCTTCCCAGGAGCACACTTGGACGTTAATTATATGCACAACATATGAGGGAAACTTATAGACTAAGAACAAGTATTAGCAGATTTTATTAATCAGACATACTTTTAGAAATTAGAGATGTTTGTATATTCATAGGAGTAGTCTCAAAGAATATTCCCTGAAATGTTGCCAATCTCTTGGGGGTGGGATTTGGCTTCTACTATCTTCTATCTACTTCATTTTCATATTTTAGATTTTTTATAAGTGTATATTTCATTTATAATTATAAAAACAAAAAATAGACATTTCCAGCAAAAGACAGGCTGTCTGCATCTCAGAGGTAGGGTCAGCAGGACAACTCTGCAGCTACAGGGGCAGCCTTTGTCGACCTGTTTTCCTAGCCAGCCTTTTCTGGGGAAGCTCAAAAGAGGTATGATGCCCCAGACTTCACAGAGGAAATGACCAGTCCATGTAACTGAGGCCAAGCAGAGACCTGGTCAAAGTTCTACACTCCCCATAAGGCTGACTAGCTGCATATTGCAGAAGCCAGTTACTAGGATAACGTCCCAGCCTGGCAGTGAGGTCAGGTGCAGTCAATGAGAGGAGAATTTGGAGAAGCCCCAGTAAGTCTGTGGAAGCAGGAGACTGCAGGGACTGCAGGCCTACTGCAATGAAGGAGAACTTTTAAATCCTTTGGATTTTGAAATGCCTTAATAATTGCACTGGGTAGTCCAGGTGAATCCCTGGGCCTTCCTGGTGCTGGAGGTCTGCACACTAGCTCAAGCCTACCACTGGTCAGTCTTCAGATTGGGCAGAGATGATCCCAGGAGTGGGTCTCGGTCTCTCCCGGCCCCTCTGCAGATAACAGGTAACTTCCAGAGATATCCAGAGACAGACATGGAAAGTGAAGAAAGCAAGAAAGAGACTGGCTGTGTCTTTGAGGGTAGACAGGTCACCAGGGAGGCAGAGAGCGAGGAGCCAAGAAGGATGCCCTGAAAACTAGATGAAAAAAAGGAAAAAGTAGTGCTGAAGAGGCTGGGTGGTGTGACCCTTGGAAGTGGTTCACCATGAAACACCAAGTTTTACTTGTCTGTCTTTCGATGTCAATCCTGTTTCTTGCTTTGAACTGTGATACTCTGTCATACTCAAACTGTTCTTTATTAAACTCTTTTGAGAGACCAAAAAGAAAAAAATTAATTCAGTTAATAGCTAAGAACATTTTAAAGAATTTTTAGATCTACTTTAAAAAAATTGATAAATCTGTGTTTCACATATCCCTATTTTCACATGAACTGCAAGGCAAATAAATATATAGTGATCACGTGCTATGAAATTTACACCTAATCTGTCTTAAAAAAAACAAGTTGGTTAGATATAAGAATGCTTTCCTGTGCTCATCTAAACCCAAAATAGTTTAGCAATGCTTTATCTAGTGTTAAGGTTTTTAGATTATTAATCACATTCTTCTCCCCTTTGCATTATGAACTAAGTGAGAAATAGTCACAACAGTCAGGTGGAATAAAAATAGTTTTATTTCTTTTTGTTCTTGTCAAAGAAACTATTAGCAATATTTTTAATGAGAACAATGTGGTTGTGTTTCATTTTTTTTTTTTTTTTTTGTGAAGAAGCTCAGCCCTGAGCTAACATCCATG